TCCAGGTAAGGCTGTGGTGGATGGCAGGGCACCCTGGCTGGAAGAGTTCAGGGGGAAGGTCTGCCTGTGGTGGGGGTGGGAGAGCACCCAGCTACAGCACCCACTTCGCCGTCCCTCCTTCTGCTCTGCTGGCCACTGGGGGCGCTCTCTCTGGATGGGCACTGCACACTCTGGCAGGGAACCTGTCCTAGGTGGCCCCTTCTGTTCCCAGAGGAAGCCCTCTGGTGGTATACTAGGGAGGGATGCAGTTGCTGAAGGTTCCAGGTGCTTCCCACAAAGAAGAGAAGGGCCAGGGCCAGTCCCTTTGGCATAGGGAGGGCTAGTCTCTTTGAGGATGCCAGGGGACAGAGGAGACACTCTTGGCACTGACTGGGACTTGGCTAGAGCCAGATATCATTGGCCAGCCTGGTGAACTCTGGCTGGAGTTGGACTGAGCTGGACTGACAACGCTCACATTATTTTCTGCAGTTTGAGTATGTTAAGACCAACCTGGAGTTTAACCTCTCATCGCTGACATGGGGAGAGCGCTATTGCATCAGTGTGGAGCCACGGGTGGTCTCCCAGGCAAGTCCTGGCAAGAGGACAGAGGAGCAGTGTATCTCAATACCCACTGAGGAAGGTGAGGCTCCAGTCCCCTTCCTCCTCAGCCCCCCCCCCCTACTGTTCTTCTGTGTGGCAGAGTGAGAGAGAGAGGATGGAGATCAACAGGTACCAAAAAGAGAATGGGGGGGGGGAGGAAGAGAGATCCACTGGAGGGGATTGCAAAGGCAAGCTGGGCCTAATAAAGCAGCCCAGTTAAATGCTTGGCGAAGAGTCAACAGCAGGAGACATTGGAAGCATCTCCTAGCTAGCTAATGACCCCACCCTCTGCATCTGCCACAAAGCATCCACGGGGTTGCTGTTCATAGGATCATGACATTGTAGAGTTGGAAGGGACCACGAGGGCCATCTAGTCCAACCCCCTGCAATGCAACGCATGGGGCTCAAACCCATGATCCTGAGAGTGAGAGTCTCATGCTCTACCAGCTGAGCTCTTAAGCTACAACCCTTTCTTTCTCTCCATAGCATGTGTCTCTGACACATTTGCATCTGCACACATTCTCATGTAAGGAACCTAGCTGCGCCAGTCCCTTCCTTCACCTCCTCAAGGAGGCTTGGTTCATTGCGGGGGGCAGGGGGAGGGAGGCAAGACAGCCAGTGCACACAGAGAGGAATGGAGGGGACACAGACTCAGGTCCCACAGTTGATTCTCCAGGTACTCCTGTCTCTACAGTGCACTTAGCAATCTCCTGCAGATGCCTGCAGACCTCCCCCATCTGGTTGAATAATCAGGGGTTGCTGCTCTCTTCTCTGCAGACCATGTAAGATCCATCCTCATCTCCAGCTTGGCCCTCCTGACGGTGATTGTCCTCTGTGGTCTGGGACTGGGAGCAGCCTGTGCCTATGTGAGGAAACCCAAAGAGGCACCTCTCTTACTGGTAAGTGCTTCACAGGGAGGTTCAGAGCCCTCTCTCCCTATGGGTAGTCCAACTGTACAGGCAAAATAGGAAACTGAATCCCAGGGGTGCTTCTGCGGCCATGGAAAAGTCTTGAAGAGAGAGTCGCTGCCTGCACTTCTGTAGAAGGCAACCCAGAGGGGGATGAGCAGCTCATCAACTGTGTAGATTTTAGCCCGCACATTCAGGGTCCCTTCTGCACCTCCCCACCTATTTATTAAGAGCACCTAGCTGTCTTTCAGGGAGTGCTTATAAAAGAAAACCAGGTTTCTGTAGGGCAAAGCCATAGAAAATAAGTTGCTAATATTCCTGTTTTGCAGATAGGGATTGAGGCTGAGAGATACTGACCTATCCACGCTGAGTGCACGACTGGGGGTGGGACTCAAACTCACATCTTCCAGCCCCACAAGAGCTGTCTCTCTACCACCAAATTCTTTACTTCCCTTGGGTGGATTCAGTTCCTTATCGAGCAAGAAGCTGGTTCTATCATTAGGCAAAGGGTGGCAGGGGGTGGAGTGGGCATCAGCTGTGAGGTCTTAGAGGACACTGTGGTGTGCTGCCCCTCCCCCAAGCTACCTTCCTGTCTTCAGCTGCAACTGGGGGCAGGGGCGGGCATCCTCTCGTTTTTTTTACTTGGATTCAACTGACAACCCAGTCAGCTTAGATAACTGGAAGGGGGGAGGCTCCCTGTCCTTTGCCTCAGGCAACGAAGTGTCAGGGGTGCCCTCAGGGGTGAGGGTCTCAGTCCAAGGAAGGGAAAGACTTTTCTCAACACACTTTCCCAAGGGTGCAAGGTAGCCTCAACAAGTCCAAGTCAAGCACAGAGAATCAGTCTAGGTCCAACACGTGCTCTGGAAGCAAGGACAGGACACAGTCCAAGGTCAATATCGCAGAAGGTGCACCAAGGCAGAGCAGTGAAATAGCAGAGACCTGCCTTGTTTCCAGCAACTGGAAGGGTCCAGAGGGACGCCTTACATACTCCAGCCTCCTAAACATCGCCCTAACCACAGGAGTTGCCAGTGAAGGATTCTCGGGAATTGCTTACCAACAACTGGGTCAGTAGATGGTGCCAGCAATCTTTGACCTGGACCCAAAGTTCTTGGCATCCCTACTGGTCAATGGGGTAATTCCACCTCCTCTTCTGACAGTCCCAGGGGTCCTTCATCAGGTATCGACATGTGGCTGGGGGAAGGGGCTCAGCAGGATCCTTAGCATTAGATTCAGGGGACCCTGCCTGCCTGCTCCCCACTTGGTGCCTGGCACCAGGCCTGGGCTGCTCAAGACTGGCAGGTGAGTGAATGAGAAGGACTCACTGCCCCTCCAACCTCGCAAAGAGGAAAGGACTATTGACCAGAGTCTTGGAGACAGGTTTTGGTTTCTGAAAGGCCCTTCCAGCTGTGACCAGCACCTGGTTGGCAGAAGTGTACAGAAGCCAGAAAGCCGCAACTGAAACCTTTTCTTTCTGCCTCCCAGAAATCTCCCGTAAAGCACAGTCTGCACTGGGTGCCAAAGGAGATGCCTCCACTCGGGATGCAAGACTTGGTATCGTGCTTAGAGGTGGATGCCATCCAGCCGCCCTCCTCCGTGGGACCGAAGGACCCTGTCCATCCTGACAGCACAAAGTGTGGAATGGAAGCAGCGCCAGCACCACTGGGAGGTTGCTTCTGGCTGCCGACGCTGCTAACACAGGGTGCAGTGCTCAGGGACCTGATGGACAGCAGCGGCTGCAGCACAGACAGTGGCATCTGCCTGCAGGATCCTTCTGGCAGCCTGGGGAGGCTGTCTCTGGGAAGCAGTGAAGAGGGAGGCACCCAAGAGGACGAGATGGGTGGCCTCAGCAGGGAGGAGCAGCTCTTGCTGGAGGCTCCCTCTTCTTCCAGTGGGGCAGAGCAGGTGGCTCCGGAAGCTGAGGAACCACCCAAGGCCCAGATATTTTCTGGGTACCAGAAGCAGTCAGGGACACCTTCAGAGATATTGGGCTGCTCCCAGCCTCCCCTCAGCACAGAGGAGACGACCCCTTTGGAGCCCGTCTTGGCTACTGGGTACTTGAAACAGGCCTCCATCTATGCCCCCTCTGGCCTTGCAAGGGACGGGACTCTTACCAGTGACTTTCTTGGCAGAACAGAGCAACAGAAAGAGCCCTTCCCTTCCAGCATCCCCCTGGAGCAGCTGGGATTGCCCCTTGAATTCCCCAAGACCCTCTTGGCATTGGGCTTCTTTGAGCAAGAACTGGTGAGCCCCTCTTCACACATCTCCCCACAAGCGAACTCTGTGCCACAGCTGAGCCTCGGTGTCCCGACCCTCCCGCAGTACTGGGTGCAAGGACTGCCTCCCAATAAGCTGAGTCAATGGGAGATAGCACAGCTCTAATGCAGTCACACAGAGACGTGGGGGCTGCAGGGTGGAAGGGACAGGATCGGGGACCCTCCTGACTGTCCCTTTCTGTTGGGCAGATAGAACTCTAGTTCTGACATCCCTTCCCCATGATACACTTTTCCTCTGTCCCCAAAACCCATACGTGTAAACCAGCATGTTTTATTCTAGTCACAGACATAAAACATGCGGCAGGAAGGAGGCTGATGACGCCAGATGTTTCTGAGAAGCTCTGGGACCCGAATGCAAGAAGGGAGGTCAAGGCAGTGGTGCATGTCTGCCTGAAAAGGTCTGCAGCAACTAGAGGAAGGTAGCTGTGGGCGGTGGAAGGAGAGGACACTTCACACATCATTGGGGTTGTCTCTGCAACACTGAGCACTGGTGGCTTGTTGCTGGCAACAGCTGCAGTGTCTTCAGGATGAATATATGTATGTGTGTGTGTGTGTCTCCTTTCCTACAAAGAGCGCAGAGATTCCTCAGCTGCCTACCATTCATTTTGGTGCAGACAGAGATTCCTCAGCTGCCTACCATTCATTTTGGTGCAGACCCTTGCATTTAGCTTTGGAGATAGAAAGGATAGTGACCCCATCATAAGCAATAGACACAGACTCAGCAGGACTGGCCTGTGCCTTTCTGAAGTGGAGGTCCCTTTGCTGGCCCTGAGCCAACCTGCCACCCCTCCCCCTCCCTGTACAGCAGCAAGAAGCCTTGAGCCCAGAAAGCCCAGTTTCAGCCTCTGATGTCAGCCAGGGGTTCTCAGAGACGAAGGAAGCAGTTGGATCTGCCCTTGGCAGCAGCAAAGGGCCCTTCCAGACGATTCAGAAGATGGACTTGCCTCCTTCTTAGTGGGGGAACTTGCACTAGCCCAGATTCAGCCCCCTTTGCAATGCCAGGGCCAGCCAAGGATGCCCTGCCTTGGCCACTGATGTGAGGGGTGCTAAGAAATGTATGTGTTCAGCTGGGCACGGGCTTCAGTACCCAAGCTCGCCTTGCCAGCCCTTAGGAAGAGGATTCTGTGAGCTTCTTTCAGGATTATCATGATTATAGGGAGGTCGCTAAATGTTCAAAATATTTTGTACAAACTGACTTTATTTATTTTATTTATTTTGTAAATCTATTTGAAGCATACAAGTTGTTGTTTTTTAAATCAATGCACTTCAGTGTATTTATTTATTTAAAATGCCATGCCGCTTTGAAGAGCTGCTTTGGGATGAAAACCCTCCGTGAAGCACCCAAGGACCAAGTGTGTGGTGCTTGCACTTGTGCAGAGCTCCTCACCTGGCAGGTGCTGGTCAGATGCAGAGGCTCCTGGTCTGGCGAATGGTCTTGCTCTGTGCACTTCACAGCTCCCAGAGCTGGTGGCGGTTCCTTTTCCTACTGATGTCAAGTGGACTGCAAGCACACTGATGTCCTGACAAGCTAAATGTACCCTCCCTTTTGGTACATTTGCAAATGCAAGCTTTTGCCCCCAAGTGGAAAGATCAGGTGACTGCTCTGCACATACATCAGAATGTCTGCAGCAGACCACTTCAGACTGCAGCAGGCGTGGGCAGCACATCTGGAAGAAAAGGTCTGTCCCAGCCCTAGCGATGGCACCTTCTTTTCTATTGCTAGGAGCTTTTAAACTTAGAGGAAACGTTTCAAACTGTTGAGCACCCCTCTGCTCTGTGAAGTGGCACAGTCCAGCCCACGGCCATCTGCAGCTGTACCTGCCAACCATCCTATGAGCCAAATCAACAAGGGCAGCCTTGGGTTTGTTTTGATGCAACAAGGAAGTGAAACTCCTCCCCTAGCATGGACAGAGAGCCACAGGGGAGTTGTGCTTTGCAGCTGGCTCTGAACTTGATCTACCCCTAAAGAATAAGACACAGCTGTATTTGGCAAGCGAGACTATTAACAGCAATAGCAGGCAACTGTTTTCAAAGCCTAGCTATGTTCTCACACTCCGTTTTGCACCACTACGAATAATTTGTGCATTTGATTTTTTTAATTTGACAAAATTTGTATGCCGCTTAACTGTAAGTGAAGCCTCTAAGCAGTTTACAAAAAATGTAAAAGATACAGTAAATTGTCAGTAAAAGTTCAAGTTATTTTAAAAAGTCCAAAATATAATTAAAAGCATCCGTTAAGCTAAAATTACAGATTAAAAGACACATGAACTTTTAGATGTCTGAGGAGGCTTCCTTAAACAGAAAAGTTTTAGGGGGCACGAGGAAGTCAAAGGAATTGCAGCAGCTTCACCTCCTCATGGGTCTGTGGTTTCTTAGCTCCCCAGAGGAGCAGACTGGAGCTGAGCTGTGCAAGACAGATAGTTTCTCTGGAAAGCCTGGAAAACCTTCAGATACAATTTCTTGGAAAATTCCCCACACACAACATTGCAGCTCTCCTTCAGAGGTTCTGGACTTCCTCTAAACAGGGAGCTGCTTCACAAATGACCAAGAAGAAATTCCACAGCCTTGTGCATTCCCCAAATTATCTCACAGTGTGACGGTTGGAGGAAGTCTGTTTGCATGTTATGCAAAGGAGGTTTCAGGAAGTGGTCACCAGGGAGCTGCAGAGCAAGACTCAAGTCTTTTGGTCTCAGGAGTTGTGCTTTTTTGGTGGAGCTGTTGAATTTTTCCTAGGGTGGCTCTTTGAGTAAAACAACGAAGGTACGAGCAGGCATTTTCTTGTAAACCCCCAGCCCTATAAATAATGCCCAGCACTATTGTTTCTTCCCAGGAGAAGCTCCCCAAGCTTCTATGGGTGGAGGGTCTTTCTCAGCTCTTCAGTCCAAGGCACGGATTAATGGGAGATGCCAGGATCTAAACCAAGGCCTTGAAAAAGCAAACCATAGCCTGACATCGCCCCAAGGACACTTCATAGAGTTTTCTCTAGTCTGCCCTGGTGATCTGCCAAACCATGAATCATGGGGCCTCAGTGCAATGTGACATGGAGCTACTACCTGGTCAATGGGGCAATGCCAAGCAAGGGTGCATAGGGACTTCTTGGTAGGTTCCACCATCTGGGGTAGAAAGGAGTCAGATCCCTGCTAGTGGCTACTCCAATTCATGCCATTCATACACTTCGCAGAAGGGGAGAGTGTCCTGATTTTGAGCATTGAATGGGGTGAGACGAAGGCTGACCAAAGCAGCAAAGAACTTTTTCCCAAAGAAGGAAACTTTTTAGCACTGAGAGGCAACCAGCTTGGCGTCTTCCAAGTCAGGGGCCCATTTTTCCTGAGGGCAGGGGCTGGGAGCCAAGAGTTGGTCCAGCAAGCTGGTGATGAACAGCAACCAGGAGCCAGAACCAAGGAGCCAGCAAGTGGAAATCCTAGGATGGAGTCAGAACTAGAGAATACCTAGGAAGGCAAAACGGCGACCCTCTCCTTGTCCAGGGAGGTTCAATGGGCAGCCTGGGTAGGCAGAGCTAGGGCAGTACATTTACCACTAAACACATGGCAACCTGCACTTCTGTGCCTCTCCACATGGGGCAGCTGCACAGAACCCAGAGGCTGCCTGGCAGCTTCTGACAGAGCGGAGGGATATTCTGCAAACTTCTGGTTTCATCTGGATGCTTGCACAAGCTCCTGAGACCTACCCAGAGATTCCAACGTCCTCCAGCCCTGCTCCATATAAGTGGTTGTTTAGGGACTGTGTCAAAAGTCCTGCAACCTCTCACAGAAAGCCAGGAAGAGCTGAAAAGACTCTCTCCCATTTTACGCACACACATTGCCGAGACCCTTGAGCTGTGCAGGGTGTGAAAAGATGGCACCAACAGTGGTAGTCTGGGTGGAGCAGCACCACGACCAAGCAGCCATATGCCCAATGGCTACTGCTGTCCAGCTGGTCCAAGACTCCTGGGAGACTTCTTGGAGAAGCAGTTGCCTGAGCTCCAAGATCTTGCTGGGAAAGAGAGTCACTGAGACCAGATTCAGAGTTGGCAGCTCCTCAGACTTAGGTGCCTCTGTCGTGGAACCGCACGTAGCCACTTCCTGCTTCACGCATGGAGCCACTGATGGTGAAAGGAGGGGCCAGTTCCACCTCCACCGATTTCAGGTTGCTAAAGGGGACAAAGACAGACAGACTGACAGTTGCCCACTCCCTCATTTTCTCCTAGAGCAGGCTTCCTCAACCTCGGTCCTCCAGATGTTTTTGGCCTACAACTCCCATGATCCCTAGCTAGCAGGACCAGTTGTCAGGGATGATGGGAATTGTAGTCTCTAAACATCTGGAGGGCCAAGGTTGAGGAAGCCTGTCCTAGAGTACCGTTAGACAGGCAAACACAGACACACGAGAGAACAGGAGATGAGAGTTTTAGCATGCTGGTTCCAGTTGGCAAAGATGGAAACAAAGCCAAAATGGAAGTCATTCATCAAACCAGTAGAAATTGGTGTAGGAGTATGCAATATGTTAAGCCCCACAGAGGACTTTGTTTGGCCCTCTGCTGGCCCTCTCCTGGTTTTTTCTTGTGAGCAGTTGCTGCAGTGGTCTGGCATGTGCAGTCAGCTCACTGTGCTTGAGGCCCCGCCCCCCGTCCCTCCTCCCTCCCTCTGTTAATAGTGACCATCACCCTGCAGAGGATCCAAGGTGAGCTAAAAGCTTGGGTCTTGCAGAGTTTCATGGCCAGATGGGCATGCAGGTGTGTGTCTTTACATACCGGATATGGTAAAGGTTGAAGACAAAATTAGGCCCTGGAAGAAAAAGAAGAAGAGGGAGTCAAGAAACTGTTAGGAGCCGCAAGACTGACAGCCTACCCTCCAACACTCCTCCCATGAAGATGAGGAGATTTCACCCCTCCCATATCCAAGAATCTGCTGATTCTCCAGAGAGGAGACACATCAAAGTGTCGGGGGGGGGGGGAGAGAGAGACTGAGTGTTAAAGAGAGATCGTGTGTGTAGATAAGGTTGCTGCTAAGAGCAGCTGCAGACACTCAGTGCAGTTCAGCATTTTCGTTTAGACCTCATTTAGCTCTGTATATAGTTGTATATAGTTGTATATTATAGTTGTAGATAGAATAAAGAAGATATTCTACAGAGCTGCTCTCCGAGTCGTTTATGCTCTGCTATACTCTGCTATACTCTGCTGTGCAATGACTGTCTTCTTGTGGAAGTGAATCCGGTGTTCACAACTCTAAGCTGTGAGTCCACAGCACCTTGACCTGTTCCTGTGCAGAAGGTGGTCTCTGGAAGTGCTACCCAGCTCGCCTAGCCCAGTCAGGGGCTGAAGTGAATGAGTCCAGTTCGTGGCACAGGCTCAAGGGCAATGCTGACAGAAAATAGGGGCATCCTAAGGGAAAGCGAGACATTCTGGGATCAACTCAGAAACTGAGATGGCTTCTGTAAATCCATGACTCTCTCGGTAAAATAAGGACACTTTGGGGGTCTGTGACAGCAGCTCTTGGAAACACAAGCATGGAGCCCACAAGTTATAGAGTGGCCTGAGGGTCCCACAAGAGGTGACGGTGGCAGAGATCCCTGAGCAGAGCTCCTAAACTTTCCTAAAAGAGCACATGTAGTTGTGTGAGGCCATAATTCAAAGCTGGGCTGTCCCAGTTGAGGAGGATTATGTATGTTAACCAGGGATAGGCAACCTAAGGCCCGGGGGCTGGATGCGGCCCAATCGCCTTCTAAATCTGGCTCACGAACGATCCGGGAATCAGCATGTTTTTATATTTGTAGAATGTGTGCTTTTATTTAAAATGCACCTCTGGGTTATTTGTGGGGCCTGTCTGGTGTTTTTACATGAATAGAATGTGTGCTTTTATTTAAAATGCATCTCTGGGTTATTTGTGGGGCCTGCCTGGTGTTTTTACATGAATAGAATGTGTGCTTTTATTTAAAATGCATCTCTGGGTTATTTGTGGGGTCTGCCTGGTGTTTTTACATGAATAGAATGTGTGCTTTTATTTAAAATGCATCTCTGGGTTATTTGTGGGGTCTGCCTGGTGTTTTTACATGAATAGAATGTGTGCTTTTATTTAAAATGCATCTCTGGGTTATTTGTGGGCATAGAAATTCATTCATTCCCCCCCCAAAAAAAACATAGTCCGGCCCACCACATGGTCTGAGGGACAGCAGACCGGCCCACAGCTGGAAAAGGTTGCTGACCCCTGGTTAACTCTCCTCTCTCCACTGCATTGTTTTCCTAGTCCAAATCACACACATCCTGAGCTGCTACTTGCCACATACAGGGACTGTGTGGGAAATGATAAAAATAATAATAAATTTTATTTATACCTCGCCCTCCCCAGCCAAGAGCGGGCTCAGGGCGGCTAACAACCAATAATAAAAACATGTTGATTAAAATACAATTTAAAAAGCAGGATTAAAATACAACATTGAAATATTAGGATGCAGCCTCTTCATGGCAATTCATGTGAAACCCAGAGTCTGACCTCGCTTTCCCACCCCACCCCAGTGTGGCCTTATAGTTTTTTAAAAGTGTGGATTTTAACACTTGGACTGTCCAGAGTGAAACCCACAGGGATAACTGGAAACTCTCCACAGTCCTGGGGATCTTGTTGAAATCTCCCTTCCTCTGCTCACCTCAGCTGCTTCTGCTCTGCCCTCCCCTTGTCAGGCGTTCAAAAATACCCTGTCATGCTGGCAAAACCCCTCAGGATGAGTCAGCACCAATAAGACCCGCTTTGTGAAGTTTCACTCCTGACCAGCTGGAATTTCAACAGCTCAGGCACCTCTGTGCTCTGTTGACGCAAGTTCCACATCTGTGGCATTAAACATCTGGAGTTTGCTGTCCATGAGACCTTCCTCACCAGTTGAGGGGTAGCTCAACAATGACAAGGGCTGTATTTTGGCAGACTGATTGCTCAGTTGGTGAGAGCGTGGTACAGAAAACACCAAGGTTGCTGGTTCAATCCCCGTGAGGGACACCTACATATTCCTGCATTGCAGGGGGTTGGACTAGATGATCCTCAGGGTCCCTTCCAACTCTATGATTCTATGAACCTATCATTCTATGAATTATTTCTAAATTTTCATCTAGACATATAAATCAGCATATGAAAAATGTATGCAAATTGGTAAACCCCTCTATGTGGACATATTAGCCTGAGTCATTAGAAGCTAGCCCCAGCAGGAAATGCTTCTGGAAAGTCTTCATGTTGTTGCTTTTTAATGGGATAATTTTTATTTGAATTTTACAGTGTAACTGCAGACAACAAATTATTATGCAGATCACAAAGGTTATGTGTGTTTATGTAACTAATACATTTCAGTTTACATCACAACTGAGCAATAAAGTAACATACAGTAGTAACTGTTAGAAAAGATAACAGTAGACCCACCCGTAAACTCACAGAACGTTAGCTGGCTCATAAAAATAAATCATACCTGTACCAGTAAAATAATAATAATAATAATAGGCATCATGAATAAGCATCCCTTGTTACATCAAGAAGAACCATACAATATTATTACACAAGTCTTATTGTATTAGCCAGATGCATTTATATGCGAGAGGCAAATTTTGACCATGTTCCTCTTTGCTAACATACATAATAAAACCAAACCATACTGATGTGAACCTGTCTTTCTTGCTCTGACCTCTGGAACCCCTTAGTTTATACATTAACTTTTCTAAAAGGGCTGTTTCCTGTACTTTGTTGTACTGATATGTGACCCGAGCACCTGCCAAGTCTCTCCAAAACTGGGCAATTGTAGCTCTAGCAGCCATCAGTAAATGAACCATTTGCTCTGTATTGGAAGGTCCTCATGCCTTTTGGGGGGAAAGAGGGTCCATGGGTCATGTGTGGGGAGCAGATATAGCCAGGGCAACGGGCAAGTGTCATGCCTACAGCAGTTGTGTGGAAGCCCCCAGCCTCTGCTGCAGATCCAGCCCTGGGCTCTCACTACACTACACTAAACTGCAACTGGAAACCACACCCCATACTTACTGTTCCAGCAGTGTCCTTCCTGGTACCACTTTGCAATGGTATAGCTAAGGACACCAAGGATCAAGAGGGAGAGACTGACGCCAAGGATGAGGCCAAGAACGCTGATGGGCTCCCCTTCTGAAAAGACAAAGAGCCCCACAGATGGAATCCAGTCAAAGGAACACATGGAAGAGCCTTCTTATCCCCCAAGGCTGATAATGGGTGATTGTAGGTGTTTGCTCTTAGGGCTGTATTCAATTCAGAATTGACCCATTGAAATCAATAAACCTAAGTTAATTATGTCAATTAACTTCAACAGGTCTATTGTCAGTAGGACCAGTGTTGAATGCCACCCTTAGTGCCTGGCTTCCCCCGCCCCCCAAAAAAGAATGTGATTTATTTATTTATGCCGAGCATTTTATACTACCCTTTAATCATATTCCCAGTTCAGTTTGCAAAAAGAACAAACAATTGAAATGTACTTTTAAATAAATGAATTAAAGCTAAAAACACAAAGTTATGTTTCAGCGTTGTTTTATTGTGTTTTAATGTTGTTTTGTGTTGAAGTTGTTGAAAATTGTTTTGGGTTATTTAAAAAAGACCAGTGGCACTGAAAAAGAGATTGATTTAGAAATGCACATACAGAACAAACCCCCCCCCCAACCAAGACCCACCCCTTGTAGCAGGAGAAAACAAAGGATACCAGAACAAAGTTTTCTGGAAAAACAAACTTTTTGTCAGCACTGGCTGAGGCACTTTGAGCAGAGAAATGCCACTATCCACGGTGCTTGCTGATGGTGGGAGCTTCTCACTGTGTTTTCAGGGAGCACCCTGCTGGCCATGCCAGGAGTAGCAGGATGGCCTTGAATTTTATTTAATAACTTAAAAGAGTTCTTACCTGCCCTCTCTGCAAGGTCCCCGGCAGCATGCCAAGATAGGTTGCCTCTATGCATGTGTGTTGGGTGAATGCTTTGGGTCTAGATCATCCAGTTAGGACAATCCAATCTCCTGAGAATTAGGGCTTGTGCTATTAGGGAAAGCCTCCCATCAGCTTCCCTGCTTTTCCCTGGATAAAGAGAGATCTGCAAAGTCAAAATCTGCCTTTGCTCCCTCTCAATCTATTGAGTGAAAGGAGGGGGACCTTCATATGAGCACAGTGTCAGAAAACCTGCCTCATATAACCAACATTCTTACGTCTAATGTATGAAAGGGTTAAGTACATAAAGTAAACTGTCCTGCCAGACTCAGCTCACCTTGGGAAGGATTAGGTCAAGTCTTTGTTCCCCCAGTCTACCACATGAACTCAGCATGCGAAGAGGCTAAGCAGTTTCCTCCAACTTAGCTGCATGACTCTAACAAGCCTCTCTAGTGCTCCTATACTTTAATTTAGGAACTTTAATTTAAGAACTTTCCCCACTAAGCCAAGTTTTACTGCCCGTGACATCTTTTTCTGAATGCTGTATGGAAGAACACATGAATCCGACTTTTGGAGAGTTTGTAAGTAAACATTTTTAAATTACCCAATGTGTGGTCTTTTTCTATGTTAGGAGAAGAGCAAAGTTTTGGAACTCACAGGGGCATATTTTAAAGGTCTAGCAGCCTGCATTTCCACACTTTACTATGCTAAATATTTTGTGATTTTAAATCTCTCACCAAAGACTGCATGCCCCAAACTTGGGCCTTATCAGAAATTAGCCTTTCATACTTATATTTTTCCCATGCAACCAACACACAGCTACCCCTGTCTAGGGAGGTTATATGGGATTGTGAGTCTGCTGCTGCCTGGCAGAACTATATGCTGTTTGCCTCCACCTATGGTCTCCTTGTATACTTCTAAATAAAGCAAATATTACAAAACTACAAAAACACCATGCATCTCCCGTGCTGTTCCTTATCCATAACACAGCTGGTTGCTCTGCCCTAAAACTTCTGGCCACTCAGAGAAGTGTCACAACAGTGGGAAACACACTGTGAAGGTGCCACCTCCCTGGTCCTTTAGGGTCAGACACCTGTGAAGGTAGTTTGGTTCCATGAGCTGTGCTGTGCTCTATGCAGTGTGAAACTCATGCAGCACCCATGTTCATTGGAAGTGCTCAGAGGAGCACCCAGAATACCCTCCCCTTTTAAGAAAAAGCCCTGAAGCCTGGAGGGGAGATAGGTGTCCCCTGAATTTACCTGTGTTGGGGTCCATCCTTTTCCTCTGCAGTCCAGCTCTTCAAACAGGAGCTCTCCCTCCAGTCATCCAAGCCAACAACCTGCCTGCCTGCCCCTGCTTTGCATGCCTCTCACCTCTTAGCTGTGGCCACTCCCTAGATGTTGACGCAGAATGTTCCACGTCACAGGCAAAGCTACTTCAAACATCCCACTTTGTGGGTGACAGAATCACAGCTGGCTTCAGCTCCAACAGAGGAGGCAGCTGGACCTCAAGTCAGGCCCAAGAGTGGCCAGGGGTAGCAACTCCCAGCCCTGCAGTCCTCCGCAGAACCTCTAGGATGCCCCTCTGCTACAAGAAAATCCCTTTTGCATGCAGGGCAAGCAGAGTTTGGCATGTAATCTTGGTTAAAGAGTAGACGCTATTGGTTGCAATCACACACAGAAAGTTGCTTGCAGAGTGTGAAAAACAGGCATAGGCAAACTCAGGCCCTCCAGATGTTTTGGGACTACAGCTCCCATCATCCCTAGTTAGCAGGACCAGTGGTCAGGGATGATGGGAGTTGTAGTCCCAAAATATCTGGAGGGCCGAGTTTGCCTATGCCTGGTGAAAAATAACAAAGTAGTTTATTGTAGGAAATACTTCTATAACTTGGATATAAAAGTTTCTAGTTCTGACCTAGCCAGCTAAGCTGGAGAACAACAAGGCAGCCATGCCTGAGGATAGCTCAGTTGGTAGAGAATGAGACTCTTGATCTCAGGGTTGTGGGTTTGAGTCCCACATTGGGCAAAGGATTCCTGCATTGCAGGGGGTTGGACTAGATGACCCCCGTGGTCCCTTCCAACTTGCTCCTTTGTTCTTCTAGAGGACGATTCAGGATTGACCTCTCATCTTGAGGTCCGAGCGAGGTGCGGGGAGGAGGAAGCTATAAACAGGATGCCACCTAAGACATATCAGTCTAACATCCAAGAGACAGAGAGGTCAGCTCAAGAGGTTAAAGGTACAGGGAGGGTCTGGGAATCTGGAGGTCCCTAGTCATAATCCATGCAAACCTCATGTCTGCAAACATCCATCAAAAATAATCACCTGGCCATTGTTGCATGCAACTGAATCTTCTGGCACCTAAGAATAATAATCACCCAAAGCAACCAAGAGTCATCAAACACTATAATTAAAATGCAATGAGGTGGGGGAGAGACTCTGGGGGAAAAGATACCATACCCAAAGAATAGCATAGTCCAGCTGAAAGCTCCTCAGCACCAATAAAACCCTAGAGGGAGCTCAGAACCACTATCTGATATGGAGAGGAGCAAATAAGAGCGTCTGCCTGCTTATCTCCTGCTCAGCTCCAGTCCAATGCAGCCACCTTTAGGAAGGCAATGTGAGGACAGGGTAGGCGCAAATTTTGGCCTCCCACCTCTATTATTTCTTTAATTTCCTTAAGGCTTCTGTACCCTGCTTTTTGCTACTTGTCTCAAAGCGACTTACAGGAAGGAGTAAAACATACAGCATATGCAATTTGAAATATAAGTGAACGTATCTGAAAACCGGGGGGCAAAAGCCCAACAACCATTGGGACAACTTTCATAGAGCAAAGGCCTCCTGAAATAAGATCCTTTTCATCTGGCACCTATCACTTAACAAGGATATGTGGAGGTAGGGTTAAAACTGTGTCTATTTGGCACAAGATGCACTATGTAGATGCATGGGGGTCACTCTTATCTATCTGCCTCCATAATTTCACATGCTCCAGTGCTACGGTCTGCCCCATCTTATGTGATGCTTCTTAGGACACCCAGCTTGGTACTTGCAGCTTTGAGTGGCAGCAAACCCCCTCCACTCCTGGGTCCCAGACAAATATCTTTTCCAGCCTGACTACTCACAGGAATGGGCCACTGAGTTCTGGCCTCTCAGCTTGTGGTGGATTAGGCAGGCAGTTCCTCCAGTTCCTCCGTATCCCAGTCTCTTTGGACCTTCTCCCTTGTCAACTCCAGCCTGGGGGAGGGAACCAACCCCCTCCACAATCATGTGCTCTGGCTGCCCAGTGGCCAGAATTGAGCGCCCTGCAACCTTTCCATTTATGCAACCAGCAGAGCTTTTGGCATCAGCTACACCCCAGGAAAGGGCCTTTCCAAGCCATGTTTGTACAGCTGGGGACCAGAGGGGGCATGCACTTTCCCACACCACCTCCCCACCACCTCTGCCCATGAAAACAGCCCTGCGTGACGAATTGCTGCTCATTAGATGAAATCTTAGCCCATTCAAGGACTGAGCTAACAGAGGCTGGCAGGGCCCGCAGGAAGGGTCCTGCTAGACAAACCCGTTCCTAAGCAAACTCTGGCACACAATGAGAATCCTCCACAGCCCCAACTCCCTGGGCCTTGCTGGTGAGAAGGACGCCAAACAGCATGGGTGAAACCTGACCCAAATTGAGGCCAGCACCCATCACCCAGCAGCTGAGGTGCTTCTCTCTGAACCAGAGGCTAATCACCACTTTCAATCTTTCTGGCCCTTCTCACCAAACACAAGAGTTGTTCAGGTCTGCATCTCTAGTTTCAGGGGCCTCCCGCCCTGGACAGTGCTTGTGCAACCTCACCACATACACTAAGGCAGGGGGTGGTGAGAGACCTTCATGTTTCTGTAAGTTTCTGTCTTCCGCCTGCACCACCACAAGTTGCTCTAGCACGGAAGCACGCCTGTCTCTGAGTCAGAGAAGCTCAGAAAATATATCTGATTGCCCAGCCAGTGTGTGCCCAGCTCTAGATTCCTGCAGCCTCTCCTGAAACTGCCCAAGGCTCTTCTTGTGGAGTTTGCTTGCCTCCGAAGGCTGTTAGTCATGGCGCATGACTCTCTCTTCCATGGTCCTTACCACAGAACGGAGGGCTGCAGGAGTTGAGTCAGTTGGTTCCCACACTCAAATTAGGTATACAGTGGTACCTCGGGTTACAGACGCTTCAGGTTACAGACACTTCAGGTTACAGACTCTGCTAACCCAGAAATAGTACCTCGGGTTAAGAACTTTGCTTCAGGATGAGAACAGAAATCACGCAGCAGTGGCGCGGCAGCAGTGGTAGGCCCCATTAGCTAAAGTGGTGCTTCAGGTTAAGAACAGTTTCAGGTTAAGAACGGACCTCCGGAATGAATTAAGTTCTTAACCCGAGGTACCACTGTACCGTACATGGTCCCCTGGCTGCTGGGATAAATAAGAGGAAAGGACTCACCACCAAGTTTCACATGAGTCCTTCATCCAAGGAAGCCGCCATCATTCGCTTTGCCTTTAGACTCAGATGGGCAGCAAAAACACAGGAACTGGCAAGGTCTCTGCACTCCTGCTGCACCTATTGAATCTTGGAGTCTTCCAACCTCACTGACTCCCCCCCCCCCATTAAAAAGCTCCTTCAGGTAGCTCAGCACCAAGTGGCTGCACATTGACAGGCTGGCCGAAGGTTGGGAGGACGTTTGAGTGGTGTCTGACCCAATCAAAAGTTCTCAGTTACACTGCAAACCAGACGCAATGTGAGTCTGTTGCATTCAGGCAGAATGAATTATCTGCACTGTCGCTTAAGCACAGCCCAAAGCCTAGGCCCCTCCTCCTCTCTTCTCTTGAACTAGGATACAAACCCTGCTGCAGGCTTGTGTTTGGAGTCCGGTCAGGGAGGCATGTATAACCCTGTTTGATAATTCCACCTGTCACTGTTTAGTTTGACAAATGATATGCCTCCTGTTCTATTTTTAGACAAGAGGTTCCATTGTTTCTGGTGGCTGTATTCTTATCCTGCAGCTGCCATTTGATTTGACTATTGATAATTTTTTTAGGGTGAAGGGCAGGTTATAAATATGTGAAATAAAAACAAATACATAATAGATCTGAGTGACGGGCAGAGGAACAACAAGTTCTGATTTAAGCACTGCTTGTGAAACGGGCCTTAATCCCTGACTCTTGCAGGCCTGACGTAGGGCTGTGTTTTGGTCTAGAGCAGTGTTTCCCAACCTTGGGCCTCCAGCTGTTTTGGACTACAACTCCCATCATCCCTAGCTAGCAAGACCAGTGGTCAGGGATGATGGGAATTGTAGTTCAAAAACAGCTGGAGGCCCAAGGTTGGGAAACACTGGTCTAGAGGAAGATCAGGATTCACGTACACAAGAGCACACATTTCCTCTTCACAACATTTGTTGTGTGCACAAAACATCCAAGGCCCCTGAGTCACCTCAGCTGTGCCCAGGCGAAAAATGTACAGATCACACCCAATTTTCATTTAGAAGGAAGCAGGAACTGCACTTCTGCCCTGCCTCCATGCGTATGAATGTTCAAATCACTGATAAAACAATGTCTACTATCATTTGCATTGCAAAGGCTGGAAAGGCAGGGTGGGGGGCGGTGTATGGATGTGCTGCCACTCCTATTCTGGATACAACCTTAGTAGCCTCCCAAACCTAGACCGTCTGCAAGAGATTAGGATCAAGCAACTGGGAGTAATCCACCACAACTCTTTCCCTCACTCCCTTCATGGCCCAGCCCAGATTAGCTCCCTACAAGTCCCAGCATAGGAGCCAACTCCTAGGGGCTCATGGGGCTGCCATCCTCCCCCCCCAAAAAAATTGAGGGGGCCGTCCCTAAAAGTTGATGGTCATTGGCATTCAAATGGTGTGTGTGCACTGCATCATGTGATCAGTTACACAGGGCGGGCTTCCCTGGGCACCCCCAATATCTTATTCAAGTTGAGCCACATGGGAGCAGTTGAGCCTGTGGCTGAAAGCAAGGGGTGCTCCAATGCCTCCCACCCCTGCCCCTAACCTCTGGATTGTGCCCTGAGAGTTGAATGCAGTCCCAGCTGGGTTGAGGACACCTCAGGGACTAGCATCTCTGACCAGTCTTTCAGAAGAGCTTGCTGAGGAGGCCTGTGGGCAGGTGAGGAGATAGCGCTGGAGGAAGAACTACGCCTCCTTCACCTGAGTCAACCTGGCTGAGTAATCGGCTCTTGGGGCACCTAGAGGTCTTCTCTGTTTTGACAGCAAGCTGTTTTTCCTTCTCGGCGAGAGCGCAGCAGCAGCCCAAACGGAGCGGCCTTTCTGCTGCCCTGAGTGACCCACCAGGCTCCCGGGTTCCCCGCTGTCCGTCTGGCGCATTGACAGCCTCCTTGCAAGAGACAGCCGCGTCCTGCAGCTCCTCCACCCGCGTCCCTACATTTGGGTGCACAAAGAGAGGGAGTT